CACAGGTACAGTTGTGGATGTTGTTTATAAGGCACAGGTACAGTCATGGATGTAGAATAAAGTGTGTGTACTGGACAGGTACACTCGTGGATGTTGTTTATAAGGCACAGGTACAGTCAGGGATGTAGAATGAAGTATGTATATATGCACAGGTACAGTCGTGGATGTTGTTTATAAGACACAGGTACAGTCATGGATGTAGAATAAAGTGTGTGTACTGCACAGGTACAGTCATGGATGTAGAATTAAATGTGTATACTGCACAGTTACAGTCGTGGATGTTGTTAATAAGGCACAAGTACAGTCATGGATGTACAATAAAGTGTGTGTACTGGACAGGTACAGTTGTGGATGTTATTTATACGGCACGGGTACAGTCAGGGATGTAGAGTAAGATGTGTATACTGCACAGGTACAGTCAGAGATGTTGTTTATAAGGCTCAGGTACAGTCAGGGATGTAGAATAAAGTGTGTGTACTGGACAGGTACAGTCGTGGATGTTGTTTATAAGGCACAGGTACAGTCAGGGATGTAGAATAAAGGATGTATATATGCACAGGTACAGTCCTGGATGTTGTTTATAAGGCACAGGTACAGTCATGGATGTAGAGTTATATGTGTATACTGTACAGGTACAGTCAGGGATGTTGTTTATAAGGTACAACTAGTCATGGATGTAGAATAAAGTGTGTGTACTGGACAGGTACAGTTGTGGATGTTATTTATAAGGCACGGGTACAGTCAGGGATGTAGAATAAAGTATGTATATATGCACAGGTACAGTCGTGGATGTTGTTTATAAGGCACAGGTACAGTCATGGATGTAGAGTAAGATGTGTATACTGCACAGGTACAGTCGTGGATGTTGTTTATAAGGCACAGGTACAGTTATTGATGTAGAATAAAGTGTGTGTACTGCACGGGTACAGTCGTGGATGTTGTTTATAAGGCACAGGTACAGTCATGGATGTAGAAAAAAATTGTGTGTATTGGACAGGTACAGTCGTGGATGTTGTTTATAAGGCACAGTTACAGTCAGGGATGTAGAGTAAGATGTGTATAACTGCACAGGTACAGTCAGGGATGTTGTTTATAAGGCACAGGTACAGTCATGGATGTAGAATAAAGTATGTGTACTGGACAGGTAAAGTCGTGGATGTTGTTTATAAGGCACGGGTACAGTCAGGGATGTAGAATAAAGTATCTATATATGCACAGGTACAGTCGTGGATGTTGTTTATAAGGCATGGGTACAGTCAGGGATGTAGAATAAAGTATGTATATATGCACAGGTACAGTCGTGGATGTTGTTTATAAGGCACGGGTACAGTCATGGATGTAGAGTTAGATGTGTATACTGCACAGGTACAGTCAGGGATGTTGTTTATAAGGCACGGGTACAGTCAGGGATGTACATGTAGAATAAAGTATGTATATATGCACAGGTACAGTCGTGGATGTTGTTTATAAGGCACAGGTACAGTCATGGATGTAGAGTATGATGTGTATACTGCACAGGTACAGTCGTGGATGTTGTTTATAAGGCACAGGTACAGTCAGGGATGTAGAATAAAGTGTGTGTACTGGACAGGTACAGTTGTGGATGTTGTTTATAAGGCACAGGTACAGTCAGGGATGTAGAGTTAGATGTGTATACTGCACAGGTACAGTCAGGGATGTTGTTTATAAGGCACAAGTACAGTGTTGGATGTAGAATAAAGTGTGTGTACTGCACAGGTACAGTCGTGGATGTTGTTTATAAGGCACAGGTACAGTCAGGGATGTTGTTTATAAGGCACAGGTACAGTCGTGGATGTTGTTTATAAGACACAGGTACAGTCATGGATGTTGTTTATAAGGGCACAGGTACAGTCAGGGATGTAGAGTTAGATGTGTATACTGCACAGGTACAGTCAGGGATGTTGTTTATAAGGCACAAATACAGTGTTGGATGTAGAATAAAGTGTGTGTACTGCACAGGTACAGTCGTGGATGTTGTTTATAAGGCACAGGTACAGTCAGGGATGTTGTCTATAAGGCACAGGTACAGTCCTGGATGTTGTTTATAAGACACAGGTACAGTCCTGGATGTTGTTTATAAGGCACAGGTACAGTCAGGGATGTAGAGTTAGATGTGTATACTGCACAGGTACAGTCAGGGATGTTGTTTATAAGGCACAAGTACAGTGTTGGATGTAGAATAAAATGTGTGTACTGCACAGGTACAGTTGTGGATGTTGTTTATAAGGCACAGGTACAGTCATGGATGTTGTTTATAAGGCACAGGTACAGTCAGGGATGTTGTTTATAAGGTACAGGTACAGTCAGGGATGTAGAGTTAGATGTGTATACTGCACAGGTACGGTCAGGGATGTTGTTTATAAGGCACAAGTACAGTCATGGATGTACAATAAAGTGTGTGTACTGGACAGGTACAGTCGTGGATGTTGTCAATCAGACACCGGTACAGTCATGGTGTAAAATTTCTAGAGTTGTCAGGACAGTACAGCAGAATCCTAGAGAGGTGGATCTAATAAAAATATTTACTTATACAAATATTTACTTTGGATGTTATCGGTAATTTTAGCATAAATTTCCTTTAATATGATCAATTATTTTAATACCATACCCTGCATATTTCAGGTATCACACCACGGTTATCCACCATTCAAGATGTTAATTGTTCCATGCATATAAAATTATTTTTTATTTCTTTTGAGAATTTTTTTTTGGGGGGGGGGGGGGGTTCTTCCAGCCTATTTTTACAACTTTGATGCCTGTGCCTAGTAAATTTTATGTACTTTGTAAATAAATAAAGGTGTTTTGTCAGGAACTATTCTTTTTCAGAAGGCTACTTCCTGGGGTGCACTTGAGAGGTTTATATATAACACATTGAAAACGGGTTGATCAGCCCATTCCACTCGTATATATCGTAAGACATGCAAATATATATTTATGGGAAATAAAACCTGTGTTTTTCATTGACACCACTTGCGTGATCAATGAAATGGGTGAAATTAATAATATTGTGACGTACTTATACTTTCTAACATAAAATTAAGGATTACAAATTAATTCCGATATTTATTTTAATTTCCTTTTTTATTTTAATTTGTTTATTATTTACTCGTATATTTTCTATAATTATACTAGCATGTTTCATTTTTAAATTCATCATTATTATTGAGCACGTAGGATATTGAAATCATGCCCCCCCCCCCCAAAAAAAAAATAAATAAAGACCTGGTTCATATTGTTCTCTGAACATAAAGCTTTAAATTTAAATCTGTAAAAGTTTTGGATCTTTCCCTAATCACTGCTGACATCGTTTGTCTCGGTATCACTGTCATGGGTAATATAAAGATTAGCGTTAATTGCGCTTTGATTGAATTCAGTCTAAATCTAAATCGGAGAAAATCCACAGAATTTTTTGTTGTGGATGTTATTAATCAAGCGCGGGTTGAGCCAGTGGTAGTGTGTATGTACGGCACAGGTACAGTCGCAGATGTTGTATACCAGGCAGAGGATACAGTCATAGATATACAAAATGTAGGCATAGTCAAGTTTACATATATTTTCCGCGATATATTCACTAAGCCAGTTATCGTTACCGTTTTGGCGACTACAGCCTTCCATAAAGTAGATTTATTTAAAATCAGAAATTTTCTTTCCTCCATATTAACACATTTCGTATTTTTCATTAAAAAACAATCCATACTTAATTAACAACATATAGTTTAATATGTTGAACAATCCGGAAAATGTTGCTCTGACATTCCGTTTTTGATATTAGTGAGCAGGTACAGTCATGGATGTCCGGTACCAGCACTGCCGAGTACAGTTGCGGATGTTAGCTGACAGACCCCACTCGGAGCACCCGAGAAGGTGGTTTCATAAAATACATTTAAAGGTCCGAAGTATTTCAGCACTTATAATTATAACCCATTACAAACCTATTTCAATGATATTTACAAAAATATTTTAGTTACCATTCATTATGAAATCATTTCAAGATAGATCCATGCAGAAGTCTATTTAAGGTTTATGATAAACACTGATAAAAGTAAAGAATAACAATTTTATATCTAAACCACAGCATGTATATAATATGACAGTAAAGTTTTTTTTATAGTGATATAAAGCTAGAGTAGAAATATTAAAGTAATGATTTTAAAATGTTAAGTTTGCAATGAATTATATGGCAAAAAGCTTTCAAAAATAATTTTGACCCTTGACTGTACATGTATTAGATTAAAAGAAGATGGACTGTTTTTCCCTGTGCATTAAAGAGATAAAAACAATTTCCATTCTCCTGTAGGATAAAATATTCTATAAATCATTTTGTTAGAGAACTTTTAATCCTATTAGTGACAATTATAGAACTTCTTGTCCTATTTCACAAATTATGGGATAAAAAATCCTATGTAAGGTTAAAAATGGGAGTTTTGCTTCTATAGGAGAAAAAATCCCACAGAACTCATTTTTCTCCCACAGAATAATGGTGGGATATTAGTTAGGAGAGAAAATCCCACCATAATCCCATGGGATTTCTTGATTGCAGGTGTAATATCTTTTAATCTAGAAGATATTCAGGTGTAAAGGTTAGTCCATGTTGTGCGATTAAAAAAATCCCACCAGATGACATAAATGGTTTCCATGTATCTTTGGAAAAGTGGTTGGCGAAAGTCCGGACAAATGTCGTGTCCGGAGTTAAATGTCGCACTGTTCCAAGTATTTACCTCTTCTCTAATTTTCTGGTAATATTCTTCTACGTATTTTTAATTATTACTAGTAATCATTTAACCTATCTTTCTGTTCTTCTTGGCAGCTTTGTACATACGTACATCAACCCCAATAACATGCTTAAATTGGACGTCAGCGGTTGATGACGTATACAGATCGCATTGTTACTGGTACGAGGAGGCATCCAATAAGCTTTCCTTTTTTGAAGCAGACGATCATTGTGCATCAAAGGGCGGGAGATTGGCCCCTTACGTAGATAGTATGCAGTATACGATGATTGAAAATATGCGTCCAGAATACACGTATGTTTTACCGGGATTTTCATATCAAAATCTGCTGAATTAATTGTAATTAAACATTAAATAACGTTGAAGTTAAATGAAAGGATGTTGTTATTTAAAATGAATTTTTTCAGAAAGTATTTTTAATTATCTATTGGAAAATACTTTCTTAATTTTCTAGGATACAGTATTGTACACGGATCTTAAATAAAAAAAATAAATTAAAAAAAAAACAATAATTAAAAAAAATTAAATTATAAAAAGCGGTAAAAATAACCAACGATGGACACCTTAAAAAGTTGTTGCTTTTTAATATTAAAAAAAATGTTAAAAGTCAGCATATCAAGTGTTTCATAATGAATAAGAAATTGCAATTTAACATGATAGTTGGTAAATTCTCTACTGAATCGTATACATTTGCTAAATACCATACTTAACCTATTCTGAAAAAAAAAATGAAGAGGCACTTCAAAGGCACCAAATGTACAGCTTCAGAGAATTTTAAGAGGACAATTCTTAGACTATTTAAACCTCTTGGAAAAGGAAAGCTCTGTAATATAAAAAAATACGTGAAATTCCATTTATTATTAAAGATGGAACATGTGGTTTTTTCCTTTCTAAAAATAGTTATTTTATGTAAAGCTGGATAATTAAGGGATTTAAGGGGGGGGGGGGGAGAACCCGTTTCCAATCGTTAACACTGACGAGATACTGTTTATATATATACATGTAGCTTTACTATGTAATTATTATAACACTGTATAAAAAGATGTTTGAAATGGCATTAGATAAGTATTAGCCATCAACTCGCATGTGTATAACCTTACCTCTTAACTCTAATTACCCAAATAAATAAAACTGTATATAAATTATGTTTGATTTTCATGAAAAGCAAAAAAAGCCGATGAAAATTAAACACAGATTCTTTTGATCTTTGATAATATGGCATTAATAATGGCTGGCCTACAAAGAAAGTTATCGATTAGACACATTTTAAATGATATACGAGGGTTATTAGAAGTCCTACTGTGAGCGCGCTACTTGCATGAAATCAGTAAAACTCTGCAGATAAAAACTATACGTATTTTCCAATTAATATGTAAAGAGTTGGTGTTTTCCGATGATCGTTAAAAAATGTAAAGCTAAATTATTTAGATAAACATGCATGCTTCACGGAGCATGTTATTTAGATAAACATTCTTCACGGAGCATGTTATTTAGATATTAAACATTCTTCACGGAGCATGTTACTTTTCGCATCTTTACATTACAGAGATATTGTTTTTTGAAATTAAATATTGCACTGTTGTAGCGCATAAAAGTTTATGATATTTCACCGGTCGCTAAAATATTCATGAAACTCATTTAGCGAAATTTTGAACTAAATTGGAGGAGTTGTGACCGTTTTATCGCTAATTATAGATGAACTATTTGTAAAAACAAAGCCAAGTATATGGTAACGTCATTGAACAGTTGAACGTCTTGGAGCACCGAGCTATTTAAAAATTATGTGTGCAGGTGTCGCATAATTTACGTTCCGGATACTTCGCGTTCCGGCCGGAACCTTAAAATCATAATATTTGTTCCGGATTTTACTGTAAGTTTGGTTCCGGCCATGGCTGCAATCTTCGAATCGCGGAGTCTCTCAATTATTATCGTCCAGTTTTCATTCTATATTGAACCTTAGAAGTAGTTTTTTTTTCCTTGAGGATTAAGCATGGCGCAGCGGCATGCCATTTTCATGTGGCGCAATGTTCTTTTTATAAGGCGTCATGCCCTTTTTGTACAGCCAGTTTTAAAAATAAATAAATAAATAGCCTAAGTAAAGATGGTGAAATACGCTTTCTGATACATGTACACCGAATAAAATTTGGGGCATGAAAGAAAATTTGGTCGCATGAAAGGCTTTGTTTATCTAATGCATACAAATTAAGTCCCTTTGTTTATTTAGTGCATGTCAGGTGTGAATTTCTCGCTTGGATGCACGCAGACCCGGTATTTACAGGGTAAAGAGGATAGAAGATAAACTAGACTGAGATTACACAAGCCTAAAAAGAAGCACAATGTCAAAGATAAATTTGATCAGTTAATTTTAATTTTATAATCTGATAAAGTAAAGAATTAAATACAGAATGGTATATGTATTTACAGAGATGCATTCTCTGTTTAAATGATATTACACGTGTTGCAAATTCCACAATGTCGAGCCTCGAATACATGGCTTCGATCCATTCCTCATAGATGTTATCACTAAAATGGCATGAAAATATCGTTAATATCCCATTAGAAATAAACAAACATAAAATATATAATTCAAGATAGTTATATAGTTTTTTTGTGATAAATTAACAATGAATACTTCATGAATATGCTGCTTATTCTGCAATGAAACAAACGTGGTTTATTCCCTTAGAATAAACAAACACAAGTAATTAATGAAAATTATGTTGTTGTTGTTTTTTAAAGACCGTAGGAAGAAAAAAAAACAAGGTTGAAATATGAAAAGTAAAGACCAGCCATGTTGATTGTGAAAATAGCAGTGAGGTAAACTGAATTAGCTCAAATATTTTAATAAGATAAAGGTTTTAGCAAATTTTAAATATTTTTTTTTTTATGTTTTAAAGGCCTTGAAGTGCACTTTTCTGTAACTTCCATGCATGTCCTACCCACCCACCCCTTAATATGTTTGGGAAATAACTTTTATTCCTCGGTGTTTTTTGAACATAAAACACAAAAAAATGACAATTTTTATGACACTTTAAAACTCTGTCGCTTTATACATACCATTATATTTAATGAATATCAAAATTTGTAGAGAAAAAATCAAATATATATACATGTAGGCAAAAGGCAAGCTGCAATAATGTAACACTCCTCCATTTTTTTTTAAAATCTCAGTCCCCTCCCCCAAATTTACAAAAAGGAGGACGTTATAACAACTCCAAAAAAAAAAAAAAAATGTAAGTTAATTATCTGAGCCCCCCCCCCCCCCCCCCCCATGGAGGAGTTTAAATTATACCATCTGCAAAAATGTAAGATTGTTAATTTTTTTTTATCATTTGCAAATTAAAATAATTATTATTCCAGGTTACAATTTCTGAGAGTAATATCAAACATTTTTGTTTCCTGTTCATTTTATTCCACCTTATAAACAGATAATAGTAAAGTTTTTTCAAGACTTTTTTGTATCAAAGTTGTTTCTGTTCCACTTCATAACAAAGATAAAGTAGTCCAGAACCATAATTATTGTCAGAATTAACGTTCCGGGTTACAATTGCGAAGAGTATTTTCAAACATATTTGTTACATGTACTAGGTTGTTTCTTTTCCACTTCTTTTACGAAGAAAAATTAATTAATTTATTACTAATAAAAATTAATTAACGTTCGGGGTAACAATTGCTATGTATTTTCAGATATCTTTTGTTACTAGGTTGTTTCTTTTTCACTTTATTACGAAGAAAAAGTAGCCCGGAACTAAAATTATGGTCATAATTCACGTTCCAGGTTACAATTGCTGAGAGTATTTTCAAATATTTCTGTTACAAGGTTGTTTCTTTTTCACTTTATTACAAAGATAAAGTAGCCCGGAACTAAAATTTTGATCATAATTAACGTTCCGCTTTAGAATAATCAGGGGTTTTTTAGGTCTTAAAATTAAGGGCCTGGGCCTTTCCATTTGGGAAAAATTTGCGACATTTAGTTAAAATTGGGAAAAATATCACAATTCACATTTTTCTAGAAAAAATTCAAATAAGAGCCATTTCTTTACTTGCAAGGCATTCACTGACTTATTTATATACAATAAATCTTATTGAAAATCAGTTTAACTTGTAATTGCTATTCTTTCTATAATATTTAGAATTATTTGACTTTAATGTCATGCTTCAAATCATCTTTTGGGAATTTTCTTTGATGAAATTGGGAAAAACACACACTTTTTACCATTGGGAATGGGGCCTATTACAGGCCCCCTACGACCCCTAAAAAAACCCTGATTGCTGAGAGTATTTTCAAATATTTCTGTTACAAGGTTGTTTCTTTTCCACTTTATTACAAAGAAAAAGTAGCCCGGAACTAAAATTATGGTCATAATTAACGTTCCGGGTTACAATTGCTAGGTATTTTCAAACATCTTTTGTTACTAGGTCGTTTCTTGTTCACTTTATTGCAAAGAAAAAGTAGCCCGGAACTAAAATTATGGTCATAATTAACGTTCCGCTTTAGAATAATCAGGGGTTTTTTAGGTCTTAAAATTAAGGGCCTGGGCCTTTCCATTTGGGAAAAATTTGCGACATTTAGTTAAAATTGGGAAAAATATCACAATTCACATTTTTCTAGAAAAAATTCAAATAAGAGCCATTTCTTTACTTGCAAGGCATTCACTGACTTATTTATATACAATAAATCTTATTGAAAATCAGTTTAACTTGTAATTGCTATTCTTTCTATAATATTTAGAATTATTTGACTTTAATGTCATGCTTCAAATCATCTTTTGGGAATTTTCTTTGATGAAATTGGGAAAAACACACACTTTTTACCATTGGGAATGGGGCCTATTACAGGCCCCCTACGACCCCTAAAAAAACCCTGATTGCTGAGAGTATTTTCAAATATTTCTGTTACAAGGTTGTTTCTTTTCCACTTTATTACAAAGAAAAAGTAGCCCGGAACTAAAATTATGGTCATAATTAACGTTCCGGGTTACAATTGCTAGGTATTTTCAAACATCTTTTGTTACTAGGTCGTTTCTTGTTCACTTTATTGCAAAGAAAAAGTAGCCCGGAACTAAAATTATGGTCATAATTAACGTTCCGGGTTACAATTGCTAGATATTTTCAAACATATTTGTTACTAGGTTGTTTCTTTTTCACTTTCTTGCGAAGAAAAAGTAGCCCGGAACTAAAATTATGGTCATAATTCACGTTCCGGGTTAGAATTGCTGAGAGTATTTTCAAATATTTCTGTTACAAGGTTATTTCTTTTTCACTTTATTACAAAGAAAAAGTAGCCCGGAACT